AACTGCCTCTCCATTCCCAGGGGGCAACAAACGGTGAAAACATCATCCGTGTTCCCACTCCACCTTGCAATGAAATTCTCGCAAACAGTGACGCCACCATCGATGTTCAGTATCTCATCCTCCAGAGTGTCAACCATCTGGCAGTACTCTGCAATGGGCTGGTTGGTTGTGAGGTTGCAGTGTAAAAAAATATACTTGATATTCAGAACCTACATATTCATGTATTGTCATCTAATGATAATGTAGAATATTAATCCAAAATATTTAAGTTTTATAAGTATCCCTCTCCTGTTAAACATTTTGTTTAGTCATTCACATAACAAAATTACCAGTAGGTTGCAGTATGATAATTATTTATAATTTTTGCGAATTTCCCCTATAGGGAATAAACTACTACCGTATGCCTCATGGTAAGACCTAGACCTGGGACCGATTTACTTTTTCGTTCTGAGGTCCCCAGAGGCTAACAACACCTGTTCAAATGCATATATATATATATATATGTGTCACTTAGTGCAATAACTCAAGCAAAAATGATCCAATTTTAAGAAAATTTTGTACAAACTCTAAACCTATGTTTATTTGAACGAGTTTGTGACCTAGCATGATCAGACTATGGGAATGGGGGTTTATATGGTAAGGTGTTTTATGGGGTAAAAGTTGGGTTTTCCCATTTTTGACCCTGAAACACAAAATTTCACAATTTCTTACCAGATCATTTTGTACAGCTTACAAGAGAAAATAAATTGAAGCGTTATTTTATGCCTAACGGTTTAACTTACGGAGATATTGTTCAAAGGTTTACAGAGATATTGGTTTTGTGTTACAGAGATAATAAAAAAAATTAAATTTAAAATTTCCATGTTATTCTTACGAAGAATAAATAAAGTGTTGTTTACTTGTTTATTGATATATTTTAATCAGATTTAGCAATTTTGTTTATTTCATACTAAGCTATGAACATTTCAATACAAAAACAAATGTGGTTTCATTTTCTGTATCAGCAAACCTAATTACTCATTAAAATAAAGTGATTTAAATCCTATACTCTAATATGAGCAATGTTTGCTTGTATGTATGTATGAAATTGAAAGTCACATTTTTTTTTACAATAGTCTTATGGGTTGCTAAGTAACCATGTTAGTTGAATTAAATAACAAGAAAAAATTAAACAAAAGTCTTGTAAGTTGTAGCATGTGTTTATAAAGGCATCTACCTACAGTATACTAAAAATTACGAAATACAGTACAAAAGGAAAAACATCACTTGTTACTATTGAGCAAAGATTATACTGAAGATTACTCGATACATTGTAGTAAAGGCTAGCAGTGCGGAGTGTGGGATCTGATATGACAATTAGATTAAGGTATCTGCAATCCTAAAATGCTATGGGAAAGGAGGGGAACAGGTCTATGAGATAGGAAGTGGTGAAGGAAGTAGTAAGGGCGAGCAGTCCGGAGTGTGGGAACTGTTTATGACGATTAGATTGTGGTATCTGCAATCCTAAAAAGCTATGGGAAGGGAGTAAAACAGGTCCGCTACGTAGAAAGTAGAAAAGGCGAGCAGTACGGAATGTGGGATCTGTTTATTATGATTAGATTAAGGTATCTGAAATCCTAAAATTATATGGTAAGGGAGAAAAACAGGTCCGCGATGTAGGAAGTGGTGAAGGAAGTAGTCAAGGCGAGCTATCCGGAGTGTGGGAACTGTTTATGACGAATAGATAAAAGTATCTGCAGTCTTAAAATGCTATAGAAAAGGAAGGAAACAGGTCCGCTACGTAGGAAGTGGTGATGGAAGTAGAAAAGGCAAGCAGTGTAGGAACTGGAAACCGTTTGTAACAGTTAGATTTATGTATCTGCAATACTGAAATCCTATGAGAAGGGATGGAAACATGTCCACAACCACAGAAAACGTACTACTATAACCCAGAATGCCAACCGCATGGTAAAAAGCATTAAGCGGTTTGAGAGAGCTTTGCCTGTCAATCCGTAGGCAGCGCCACCAGCGTTGCTATGCTATTGCATGGCAACGCTGGTGGCGCTGCCTACGGATTGACAGGCAAAGCTCTCTCAAACCGCTTAATGCTTTTTACCATGCGGTTGGCATTCTGGGTTATAGTAGTACGTTTTCTGTGCCACAACATAAGAAATGGTGAAAGAAGTAGTAAATGCTAGCAGTGCGGAGTGTGGGAAATGTTTATTACCATTAGATTAAGGTATTTGCAATCCTAAAATACTATGGTAAGGGAGTAAAACAGGTCCGCGACGTAGGAAGTGGTGAAGGAAGTAGTAAAGGCGAGCAGTCTGGAGTGTGGGAACTGTTTATGACAATTAGGTTAAGGTATCTACAATCCTAAAATACTATGGTAAGGGAGTAAAACAGGTCCGCTACATAGGAAGTAGTAAAGGTGAGCAGTCCGGAGTGTGGGAACTATTTATGACGATTAGAATAAGTATCTGCAATCTTAAAATGCTATGGGATGGGAGGAAAAAAGGTCCGCGACGTAGGAAGTGCTGAAGGAAGTAGTAATGGCGAGCAGTGTGGGAACTGGAAACCGTCTGTAACAGTTAGATTTATGTATCTGCAATACATAAATCCACTATGAGAATGGTACTCATATCCATCGGCTATGAGAATGGATGGAAACATGTCCATGACATAGGAAATGGCGAAAGAAGTAGTAAATACTAGCAGTGCGGAGTGTGGGAAATGTTTGTGGCTATTAGATTAATGTATTTAAAATACTAAAATGCTATGGAATAATATGAAAACAGGTCCACGAAGTAGGAAGTGGTGTAGAAAGTAGTAAAGTTTAGCATCGCTGAGTGTGGGAACCATTGTGTTAGTTAGATTAATGTATCATTCTGTAATACATAAATGCTATGAGAAGGGAAGGAAACAGGCCCATGACGTAGGAAATGGTAAAGGAAGTAGTAAGGCTAGCAGTGCAGAGTGTGGGAACTATGTGGCATTTGCAATAATGTATCTGAAATCCTAAAATGCTATGGGAAAGAAGTAGTAAGAGCGAGCATTGTGGAGTTTGAGATGGATTAATGTATCTGCAATACTAAGACTGCTTTCAGAGTAAACTAATGATTTTCCCCGAGCAAAGCTCGGTCCCCAGGTACTATGAAATAAATCTTACAATTGTAAGGGAATATTTTAGTAAAAATCCAGCTAGGTAAATGGAAATTCGCTTAGTTTGCAGGTTTGCTACAGCATTGGTATTTGAAAATGGTACAGCTCCTGGTGATAGATTGTGAAACCTATATTACTATTACTCAGCATATTAGAACAATTGCTGTTTTTGTAACACATTGAAATATTCTTTGATTATACATTGCAGAAACTGGGAATATTTACCTGTTCCCTTTGTGGATTTGATCAATATCAAACCTGCCTTATGACCTTGGACCAAGGTTGGCTTTGTCATAAACCATCCTGCTTAATCAGCTGATAATAATATGGTTATTGTTGGCAAATTGTTTGTATGTATGATATGGTCTTCGTTCATTCTCATACGTGACTTCGGAGCGTACTCCTAGTTTATAAATAGTTACATGAATGCCCATTCGTATCTATGATCTGCTGAGTGCATTCCTTGTTTAAGTAGCTATCCAACACTCGTTACGTGGTCTAGTCAAGGTTAAACAAAAACGAATGGGAAAGCAATAATTTATTCATGGTTTTCTATTGGTTTATCACCCCATCAATACTCTACGTACAAAACTTAAAGTTTCCTTGAAAATTGTTTAACAAGTGCCTATGAAATTGTTTAGTTTCATAAAAATGTATTTTATCTCTAGACAATAATATTATACATGTACGCTCGTATATCTATCGTACGTAAGCTTGAAAGTCCACACAGTTGTTTAGGATGAATTAATTATATTACACTTTCCTATTAAAAATTATTCAGTGATGGTGGAAACTAAATTATTATTATATCCATGTTTGCCTCCTGGATTGAATAATAATAATAATAATAGGTTAAATACCTTGTATACGTCCTCAATCCAAGTCGTCTTTTAAAATGACTATAGTTTCATAAACCGTTTCATAATGACTATAGTCAGTGTACCGGTCCGCACAATGATGTACAGTAATCACTTTTGTTTAGGCCGGCCAAAAAGTATAATTTTTCAATGTTACGTGTAAATATAAATGTTTCGTGTGTCAGTGTATGTGTACATGTGTACTTCAACTTTGACCAATGCTATAAACAGTAATTAACAAGACAGAAAATTTGACAATGGGGCTGTTGGCCCCGAAACTATAGTCATTTTAAAAGACGACTTGGATTGAGGACGTATACAAGGTATTTAACCTATTATTATTAAATTATTATTAATTCGAATCAGGTTTTGTAATCAACTTTGTCCCACTATAGTTCTAATGCGAACGCTTAAGCTACTTAACATTATGAACTCGATTTTCACACTCTTCTACACTATGGGACGAATGGAAGATGGTAATATATTTAGCTCAAATGAAATTATAAATAAGAAATAATTGTCAGCAACCTTTTGGTCATCAGGCTTTTTCTTTTGCTGAGATGCTGAGCCCACTGGTGTTGGCACAAGCGTTGCTGGTAGTCTGCTGCGTCTTCATCAATAATGGGAAAAAGGAGTTAAGGGACATTGTTTTCGGGTGGAGCCTTAAATAGACAGAAATCATCTGAAGGCCGTCATAGACCCCATCAGGAAGAGAGTATTTGGGATGTAGGGGAGGTCTGCTGATGGGGAGGGAGTGGTAATGTGCGGTAATGTGCGGCCAGGTGTCTTGGCGCCCTAAGACCGCTAGGATTGTTGAAACGGATACGAATCAGACAGTCACTCGGTAAAGTTTTGAAAAGGTGATCTGGACGGATGTGTAGCGTGATTTTCCTGAAAATTGTGAGCCAATTTTCCCATGGGTTTGGTTTTACCAGCTGTACATGCTGGCGCAGTGTTGCAAGATGTACCCTCTCTCATACCTTTTCTTATTGTTTTCTGCAGATGCTGAAGCCGCTGGTGCTGGTAGGAGCGACGCTGACGGTCTGCTGCGCCATCATCGTCCACGACCCTCCGGAGCAGCTCTACGACTGGTACTACGCTGGTCCCGAGTTCGGGTTCATCCCCGTAGCTAGGGTACGCCCTGTGTACTCCGTCGCAAGAGCCATCCTCCCTGGCAGAGAGCACGAACCTGACACATATGACCTACACGGCCTCTACCATCCATGACGATAACCTTGTATTGTAATTTATTTCTTATCTATTTTGATTTATGTTTTATGAAGTCTTTGAACAATCCTATAGCCATATTACCAGAGTAAGAAGATGAAAAATATTATATTTGATTTTCACTAATGTTGTAAATTGTGACGTTTTATATTTTGTGAGTTTAGAACCTATTTTCGTATTTTTTGTCCCTCTAAATTAACTGGAATTAATGTTTAATACGTCTTTATATTGACTGAAGTTTCTATTCTCGTCAGATGGCAGGCTATATCAAAACTGTATTACTGATGTTGAATACCAGACAAATTGGGATGGAAGTATTTCACTTTTAAATCAGATATCCCACACAGATCACACATAATATATTTAATTTAGTGTTAAAATATTTATCTAACTTTATAGCCTTGTATAAGTGATTTTGCAAAGGAGATCATTAAATTCCTTTGAATTTCTGATCCCATCACATAGCTATTAATTAAGTACTAACTATTTGTTTACATGCAAATAATTTATTGTGGTACTGTATCATAAGGCTTTTTACTGCATTTGTACCATCACGTTGTGAACAGTATAAATATATTGCTGGCTTCTTAAACACTGAAAACAAAAGTGAAATTTGACTCCATTACTTTAAGATATAATTAATTAATATAATGTAAAAATGTATTATTTGTAAATATACTTTTTATTTATAATGGATGTTATTATTCCCCTTCCTTATCGCTTTTTAAATCAGATGCAATGTTTTATAGCGTATCAAACTTAATTCAAATCTACTCCTATATTAATAACGTTTAAGGATTAAAATCTTAAGTCTTTACATTTTAAATATTATAGTATAGCCAAAAATGCTCATAATTAGAAATCAAGGCCCAAATTTGTTAACGAATACTACTCATTTACCAACATGCTAACAGCTGTTCTAGTTTCATAACCTCAGATACAAAACAATAGTCAAAACTGCTTGTGAAGGTTATCAACGACATTAACCTTCTGATAATGATCGATTACTGATAAAATCTGAACGTAACTTGGTTAGTTATTCTCTTTATGGATGTTTACACAACAAACCAGGTGATAGCATCACTCACGCCTGGCCTTGGAGTAGAGCATGTGCAGAAAACTACATGTAACTTGCGCAGAGAGCCACAATTGACATGCGCGGTAACGATCAGCTGAATTAGTGAATTGCCTAGTAAACAATCAGCTGGTCATTGTTATTTATTGACTAGTAATCAGAAATGTAACAAACACTTCTCGATGTTAGATGCGCAATGATTCTTCTGTAGTACAGTACTTTAGATAAATCAGCCTGTACAACCTGTCTTTATGTGGTTTAAACTGCGAGAACTTGGCTTGTGATCAAATATATAAATGTGCAACTCTTGATGGAATAGATGTTTACATAATGTAATACAAGTAGGCCAGTTGATCCATGGATCGAATACATTAAGTGGGACACGACAAAAGCTGTTTTTATAAAAAAAAACAGTATTTTAATTTTTTTGTTTGAAATTTTCGAACGTAGCTTATTTGTTACCTTTATGTAAATGGTTGATTTTCATACATAAATAAATCAAATATTTTGTATGGTAAATGGCAATAAAATACTATATAACCATAAAAAATCCTACGTCCTTGAAAACTGAAAATATACATATTTATTATATGATTTCAAAGAAAATTTAAGTGAGAGAATCAAAGACTATTTCCTATTTTCATATAATTGCCAACATTAATTGCTTCAGTTGATTACAGAAATAGGCCCTTAAAAATATACATAAATAGTAAATTATAATGTAAAGTGTTAATTTTAGAGTTTAATGTTGTTTTGGCATTTATTTTTTGAGGATTTTAGGGATTTTATATCTTCTTACTCCAACACTCTATTTCCTAGTATTGATAACCTAAAATGAGTAAACAATGACCATCTCTGTGGTATTGTCTCGTTATACTCTGCTGTATGTTAACAGTGTACACAAGTCAGGAAAAAGAGATAAATGTACTGATGTGCTTTATTCATTAGGCAGAGCTTAGTTAAATGAATAATTCCATTGATTACTGTAATTGTTTATAGTTCAAAAAATTAACAACACGATTAACGATAATTCTTTTGTATTATCCCTATCCGATACCAAAGTTGGACCATGTGCATTAGAGTTTTAGTGGTTATGAGTGTGTTTATGTTTTTTGGCCTACATAATCATTGCAAAGTCATAACCACTTATTTCTACTCTGCGATAAATGATTATTGTTGACTTGTGACTAAATTTTGGTGGAATTCCTAAAAAAAAAGAATATGAACTTTCGTTAAAACGACATTTTATATATTTCATTGCAGTATTAAATTGCATGTGTTATTATTGCAATGGAACAGTAGACTCTTAAGTTCATTCTTTGCTAAATGTGCACAGACTAGGAAGTAAGACAGTTCATATTGTCACTACAGTTCATATTGTCAGGTGGCAAAACGTTCTTGTAAAACGGTAAAATGATTGTTTGCCTATCTCACGCCCAGACACACTCATACTTTCAAACAAACAAACGACAACATCCCAATACGGTACACATATAGTGTGTAAATTAAGTCTTGTTAACTCCGCTAATAGGGTAGGGGGTAGCGGGTGACATTTTTTAAATAGCAACCCCTATTGAGTGACCCCCATTTTGAAGGGTTTGTCAAAAGAGAAACAATGACACAAATTCGATGTGAATATCTCACCCCTAGCCAAAATGGCGAGTAATCCAAAATGGGTGCTTTTTCAAATAAATCAAATTTTGGAACACCTACCATTTAGGATAGGAGTGAAATATCAACCTCGGGTTTGCGTCATTGTTTTTCTTCATAAAACATAAGTAACCCCCTACCCCCTACCCTGTTAGAGTGGGTTACAAAATATTTTTGTTGTAAAAAGTTACGGAACCTTTTTTAACAATCAACCCCACAAACAGAATATTTGTATCCATTTCGGTTTAAATACCCCCGCCGCAGCAAACCTGACGCCTAAGCGAATTTCCATTTGGCTGAATTGATTTTCAATTGATCTATTTAAATAACATTAGGTTTAACGAGTACCTAGGTTTGCTGCTACAAGGAAACTAATAAAGTGTGTGTTTTAAGTAAAATAATTATTGCTTAGTATAAAATGAATATATTTGCCAAGTTTGATCAAAAGATATCCATAAACAAGCAAACTAAACATTTTACAATATTCTCCATAAGAATAACATGGGAATTTTAAATTTACCATTTTTTTAGTTTTATCCGTAACCAATAACCGTACCAAAACACTTTGATATACTGAATTGTTTGTTTTTTTAAGCTCTTTAAGAAGGTTTAGAGAAAAATTGGGAAATTTTGTGTTTTGAGGGTCAAAAGTGAGAAAACCCAATTTTTACCCCATAAAACCCCCCATAAAACCCTGTTTCCATGGTCCGATCATGCTGGATCGCGAACTCATTCAAGTTTATCCCGCCTTACACCTTCAAACACATATATATATATATATATATATATATATACATATATAAAAATTTGAACGAGTGGTGTTTTTGGCCTCTGGGGACATCAAAATGAAAAAGTAAATTTGTCCCAGGCCTAAGTCTTACCATGAGACCTACGGTAATAGCTACTTCCCTATAGGGAAATTCGCTAAAAATACAGATTTGTTTTAAGACTCAATTTACACACTGTATTTCTTAACACATTCTTCTTTCTTTCAACGTTTACGAGCTTTTCTGGGCTATCTTAACAAACTTTTATCACGCAGTAAAACACCATAGTAATCATTGGGAAACTGTGGACGGGTTGCTGCCAGCGCGGGAAATTATCAGTTTTGGTTCCGGATATCGACAGTCGAATTATGAGCTGTGAATAATCAGCTGATTGAGGATATTACATCCTCGTACGTGTAAATGCAGAACAGGTTATTGTTGCTTCACAACAGCTGATTTGCTAATTGGCAACTGCATGAGTTGCAACGGAACGTTTCAGAATGCATAGAAACTCGAATCAGTTGTAAGTTGCTATGCATTGTGTCATGTGATGCAATCACATTCGGTTTTTAACATGAGCAAGCAGCCATCTATCTATATATATAATACGCTAAGCCGATTTTTGTAAACAGAACTCCTCCCACATTTTTGGACCGATTTTGATGATTAAAGTGTCAAAAAAATGGCCCTGATCTGTAGTTTTGCAAAGTGCTTTTAGATTTTTGATATCTTCAGTAGTTCTGGCAGGATCTTCCATTAAAGTTGGGTTTTCTCCCAAAAGAAATCTAAATATCTAATTGGAAACTTTGTCTCCACTAATTTGAGGGAACGGCTGGGCGTACAAACTTGGTAGAGGTGTCCAAAGAAAGGTCTTGGTCTGTAGATGAGTTATCAAAAGAAAAACGAAGTAAATTCACTTATGCCTCTGCCCCAGAAGCCTTTAAAGATTCCTCCACAGATTTGTTTACATTTTGGCCATGTGGATAATACTTTTTTATGAAACAGCTGTTAATTTTAAAATTGTATTTTAAACAACACACATTTATTGGGAGTTACTAAATTGTCCAAAATAAGTATTTGCAATGTTATTTTCTGATTTTAAAATTTACTTTGTTCTGCATCGTGTTATGTTTTGCAATATAACGTTCAATTACGAAATCATTGGACAATCTTAATATTACACTAACTCTTAAAATGATTTCTTATAGAATTATCTTATTTATCTATTGTACTGGTTGGTGTCTACCTTTTTGACCACTTTTGTCTATTTTGTCATATTATTTAAGACGGATCATCATAGGTTTATGAGATTATTTCCATACATGTTTTCAATTATTGGAAAAAAATTCGATTGTGCAATAAAATACAAAATAATACAAGTGCAGAAGGGCACATTGCCCATATAAGCCGTATTCATTTGCAGAAGAAGTTCATTGTGTTGTGCTCTTATTGTGTCTAATAACATCCAAACACAGAAACCTTGCCTAAAATAGTACCTATATCTTGACAGATGTTTTGCAGTGGCCTATTACGGACCATGGCCCACTTGGTTGGCCTTAAGTGAGATTTGTGAAAATAACACTACACTTTGACTGTAGAACAAATTTCACAAAGACCATTTTAGCAGTTACTGTCATAACAGA